TGTGTGTGTGTGTGTGTGTGTGTGTGTGTGTGTGTGTGTGTGTGTGTAACTGTGTTTCTCTCTCTAGGGAAACCAACGTGCCTTCCGTGTGCCTTTGAGGTCTTTGCACTTTCTTCAAATGGACCGATTACAGCACAGAGGATGTGGACAGCAGAGGTTTTCCTGTTTGATGTCACACTGCTGCCCTTTAAAAGTCCCTGTAAGAAAAGGAGGGAAACTCAACAGAATTCCCAGTCTAAGTATCCACAGGCAGGAAGAAAAGAGCTCTGAGCAGGCAGAAGTGAGGGAAAGTGTCTGATTTCGACCCCTCCACCTCAGCCATTCAGAGAACACCAAGATGCCAGGGGGTTGCCTCAGACTCCTATTCTGCGCCCTGTGCAGCTTGCGAGCCATCCAAGCCTTCCCCAATGCTTCCCCCCTGCTCAGCCTTGGCTGGGGGGGCCTGACTCACCTGTACACGGCCACAGCCAGGAACAGCTTCCACCTTCAGATCCACAGAGATGGCCACGTGGATGGGTCTCCTCATCAAACCATCTATAGTAAGTAGAGGGTTAGAACTAAAGAAAGAAATAGAAACTCCTCCGTTTGACCACTGGTAAAGGGGGAAATCCGAGTTCTGTTGGCTGGAAGGCATCTCTAACAGATCCTTTGGCCACCAAGTAGAGCTGGATCTCATCCATTTGCCACTGCTGTCACATCTTTAGACAGAAGGAAGCAGTGGTGATGGTAGAACAGCCATATAAAGCACTAGGAGGGCTGAGGAGATTAGATGAGACAGATTCCTATTGGATTGTGGACTTTGGGACAGTTTAGTTAACGAGCAAGTTTGTGGAACCGCCTTCTCTGAAAATCTTGAGAGGTCAAATTATACAGATAAACTGGATTATACAGGTCCCTTAAAAGTTCCTTCCTGACTGTCTTACTCTCTTTTGCCTCCACCTCCTTCCTTCCCTTCCTTTACCCATTCATTCATTTAAGTAGGGATGGTAGTTGGTATAGATAAGAGGACCAGCTTTTGAGTCAGAGGAGCTGGGTTCAAATCCCACATCCACTAGGTGGTGTCACTATAATTTTTGCCAAATTATTTCATCTCTTTGTGCCTCATTTTCCTCACCTGTAAAATAATAGCTGGCATTTATAAAAAAGACACCCTACTTTAAAGGTCGCAAAGCATTTTTTCTGAATGATCTCACAAGAGTCTTACAATAACCTTGGAAGGTAACCTCATTTTACAGATGAGGAAATTGAGACAAGGAGAGATTAAACAACAGGGCAGGGTTGTAGGCTGAGAAATGTCAAGGGCTGCATTCTAACCTGAGTCCTTCCTGACCAGGAGTCTAGCAGCATCTCCACTAACCTCTGCTGCTTCTCAAGTTGTTAAAGTTGTTTGTCTCATGGACCCCTTTGGCAGTCTGGTAAAGCTTACGGATCTCTTCTCAGAGCAATGTAATGCAGGAAATGAAATACATAGGATTACAAAGAAAACCAATTATATTGAAAACAATCATCAAAACATTTTTCAAAAATACAAATTCATGATAGACTTAGCTCTTCTCAGCAATGCAAGTATCTAAGACATCTCCAAAGGTCTCATGATGGAAAATGCTCCCCACATCCAAAGAAAGAACTATGTAGTTTGAATACAGATCTAAGCATACTATTTACTATTTTTTTCTTCTGTTGTGTTTTGTTTCCTCTTTCTGGTGGTTCATCCTATTGGTTCTAATTCTTACTTACAACATCACTAATGTGAAAATATATTTAATAGGAATGTATATGTATAGCCTATGTCAGAGTGCACCATCTTTGGGATGGAGGTGAGGAGGGAGGGCAAGAAAAATTTAAAACTCAAAAGTTTATGGAAGTGATTATTGATAAAGCAAAATAAATTAATAAAAAAATGAAAAAATACAAATTCATAGATCTTAGACAGACTAAATGATCTACAAGTTTCCTTCTAGTTATGGCACTTCAAGTTTTGCAAAGTGCTTTACAAATATGATCCTATTTTATCTTCACAATCACCCTAGCAAGTAGATAATATTATTATCCTCATTTTATTGATGAGGAAACTGGGGCAAACAGGTTAAGTGACTTGCCCAGGGTCACACAGCTATTTAGCATCTGAGATTGGATTTGAACTCAGGGTTTCCTTACTACAAGTCTAGCTCGGTCCATTGTACCACCTACCTGTCCAAGAATAACTCACATTGCTCCAAGTAGTGCAAGAATTAGGGATAAGGACTGATTCTATGATTTGAATGTTATCCTAAACTCCCAAGTGAGGAAAGTCTTTTCACCAGTGCAGATTGGCACCTTCTCCACAAATTATAGGCTCAGAAATTTGCCTAAAATACTCTGAAGTTAAATAACTTAGCTAGCATCACAGAGTCAGTAGGTATCAAAAGCAGAATGTGAATCTAGATCTTCCTGGCTGCAGGGCTAGGTCTCTATCCACTCTACCATCCTGCCTTATTATCTCTATTTGACAAGTGAGGAAACTGAGGCACAGAGGGACCAGATATTTGTTCATGTTCGTATAGATAATATGTGACATAGCTGTGTAGGGCTCAAACTCGGTCCTTTTGCTCCCTAGTGTATAGACGAGGAAGGCAGTTTGGTGTAGTAATAGATGCAACAGTTCAGTGAAAAGAGCATTAGAAAGAGAATCAGATCATAAGATATAAAATCAAGATAATTCCTCCACTATTGATCTTACTCAGCTGAAATGAAGATCAAATGAGATGACAGTGCAGGAAAACTGCCTTTGTAAACCTTAAAGTATGATACAAATATCAGCTATGATTATCATCAATTTAGTCCACACCTTTTATTTGGTTCATGAGGAAAGAAGCAGTGATGTGTTGGAAAATATTTAACAATCAGCTTTTTCTGGGGGGGGTGGGAAATGTATATGACAATACTTTTAAGTTTAATTTGCCTTATTAACATTTTCCTCATTACTTTCTTAAGTCTAGACAACCAACAAAACGATAAATAAAGCCCTGATTTGCAGCCATTTTCAAGGCGTAAATGTTCACACTGAAAATTTAACAATTAGCTCTCCAGTCGCTAGGGGCTGACTCTGACATCCCACCCTTGACAAAGGCCCCAGTAGGTAGCACAACAAATAGTAAGGGGCAGAGCCAGGGGGAGGTGCAGGCTACTGTGGGGGAGAAAGGAGGTGGTTTCAGGACCTCCATAATTAGTGTCTTCATACCTCTATAGTTGCCATAGATCATGAATTCTTCCAGCTGTAATAGATCTGTTTCTTCTTGTCCCACCCCAAGCAGTCGAGTAGTATATGATATGAGAGCCCTAGGGGGAATGAGGGAGACTAAATGATGTAAACAGACATATTTAGGCTATGGACTTTAGGATAGCTTACCAAGAGAGGGTGTGGAATTATCTTCTTTAAAAATCTCTAAATATAGTCCTAGCTCCACAGTATCTATGTCCTTTTGGACATGTCATTTTATTTTTTAAAGCCCAAGAACTGAATCATTTTTAGAGCTGAAAAGGATCTTCAGTCCTATTGCATACAAGGCGCTACTAGGCAATACAAAGGGACAGAATGTCCCAAAAGTTTTAGTGCAATTGTAAGCTTTAATAGCTTAAAAAAAATTAATTAGCTTCAATAGTTTAAATTTCTATTCATTAGAGCAATTGCCTTACAGATGTCTGCTTGACTACTGGAATGTACTAGCTTTAATAGCTTAAAACTGCACTAAGACATTTGGGATACCCTCTATACAACACATAGACCCTGACTTCAGGAAGTTCATAGTGTAGTTGGGGAGAGAACATATACATACAAAGCTAGCTAATAAAACTATGCAGTAGGTGATAAACAAGTAGTATAGATAAGATAAGATGATAAACTAGAATACATAAAGTGTGCCAAAGGAGGACAGAAGAGTAAGAGAAAGTTTTTCTAGATGCCAAGAAAGTTATAGAACCTAAGGAACGCAATAGAAATTTGGAAATAATTATTTCTTAAATTAAGCATTGAGGGCAGCTAGGTGGTGCAGTGGATACAGCTCCAGCCTTGGAGTCAGGAGGACCTGAGTTCAAATCCAGCCTCAGACACTTGACACTTACTAGCTGTGTGATCCTGAGCAAGTCACTTAACCCTGATTGCTTCACCAAAAAAAAAAAGAGTGCTGGGTAAATTAAGGATTGAGTCTAATGGCAAATATCCAGTGTAGGAAAAATCTGAACAACTGAATGGGTTTGGGTCATTTCCACCCCACCCCCACCCCCCACTCTGTTATATTCTAGTACAAAGGTATGTCACACACACCCTGCCATGTGGCCCACAACATTCCCAAGTGTGCTGCACCAGATTAAACTGTAATTAAGAAATATTTACTTACATAATTGAAAACAAAACAAAACATAGGTAATATTACATTTTAAAACAAAATCAATAATGCTACCTGTAAGGATCCTTATGTATGGATTAACAGTTCCTGTTCCTATTTGAGTTTGACATCACTGTAATAGGAGACAAATTCTTCACATTCTAAGATATAATTTAAAAATATTTTTATTGGTATCTATTATATTAATATTACTTTTGTTTCCTAATATATCTCTCACCAGAAGCCATTCCTTATTAAAAAAAAAAGAGATGAAAAACCAGTTCAGAAAAACTAACTAAAAAATTAACTAAGTCTTCCAGTATATTTGAGGTTCCATAACCATTTTCTGCCATCTCTGCAATGAAACTATGGAGGTGCATCTTAGGAGGAAAACTTTTCACGAATACATTACATCTGAAAAAGAAAAGTAAAAGTTGGGGGCAGGCAGGAATGCCGCATATCTGGTATGTGGTAGGAAGCATGCGCGACTCATGTACCTGAGAAAGCTGGTTAAAATGCCAGCTCTGACATTTTCTAAAGCTATGTGACCTGGGCAAATAGCCTCTCTCTGAGCCAGTTTCCTCTCCTATAAAATGGGGGAAATGAGGTTGTTATGAGGAAAAGTGCTTTGTAAACTGTAAAGTATAATATAAATTTAAGCTATTATTTTCATTGCCTATCACTGGCTGGTTATATGATGTTAAAATACTTCATCTTGGATTATTATGAAGAAAAGGGTATAAGCTCTATATAGATCAGCAATTTAAACTTGAAAATCTCATCAAGAGGACAGCTCGTCCACGGGTCTCAAACCTAGGGCTTTCTCCTTCCCCTTCCCAGACCAACTCTATCCTGTAGTTTTTTCCTCCCAATATTCCAGGTCAATGTAAGCTCTTTAAGGGCAGGGACTGTTTAGTTTTGTCTTTTGTATATAGAAAGGCTTAATAAATCATTATTGAATTGAATTAAATATGTAATAGCACTCAATTGATCAGTATTTATTAAATATCCACTATATGCTAGGCACTATAGATACAGAAAACAAAAATAAACAGTCCCTCCCCTCAAAGGACTTAGATTTTATCAAGGGAGGAGACAACATGTACATTATGAACAATACACATAAAATAAATATATTTTAGTGGAGGCAACTGCAGGGGGGGAGGAGGGGCGGT